AAGGTGAACCTTTTTATAAAGACAAAACAAACTAGTGTAAAAAATAAAACTAAGCTAGCTGTCATATTATGATAAGCTAGCTAAAATTTACAGTATTAATTATTACAATTTAAATTGTTATAAAAGCTACTATTATTATTAGAGAAAAAAAAGTTTTAATAAAAGAGTTTTAATAAAAACGCACTAAAAATTCTGGGAGTGGAAACTAGACTTACATTCCCTTCCGCACGAACACATTAATCTCCATTGGGAAGATATTTGAGGTTAAAATTGGGACACGCCACGTGCACACCTTGTACTCGGCTTCTTACAAAACTGGAAAATGGAACACGTAAATATCTTTCAAAATTGCTGCAGGCGACACAAATCTCTTAGATACTTAAAAAAATAAAAATAGTGATCACGCTTTCTAAACTAACGTATTACATAGAGTATAATTCCACTATTTTCTACAAATTTGCAGGTTTTTGACCGACTACATAACGACGTCTGTCCCCTTTGACCAAATCTTCCAACCTAAAACTTGAATTCTCTTGACCCTCGATATCGGCAGGGACTAACAGTTTTGCTTTTCACACTCTTCATCGCTTCCTGTAATCAAACAACCCAAAATTCTTGTTTTAAACTGCTTCATACTATCTCGCAAAATGACCTTGAATCACTTTCAGCGTTAAAACTAACAGGTACAAATAAATAAAACCATATTTTTTTCGTCGTAGTTAATAATTGGAATTTGGAATTCTTTTCTTTACCTCACAAAATGTAAACAGAGAAACTGTGCAACATTTATACTTAGGCCAGGGACATCTTAGAAAATTTTGTACTTAAATATTAAATAGTTTAAGTAATTTTCTGCATGCTACATACTTGCTTTCAGCACTGCAAAAATCCAATTAGGTAAACTGACCAATATGCCACTTACGTTATTTTGACGATCTGTAATGGTTGTAATACACTTTAGTAAAAGTGCGAATGTAGGACATTCGCTTGTTTACCTATTGAATATTTTTATATTTGACTATTTAGCGTTGTGAATAGTGAAGTAGGTGTACATTCGTTAAAATAAAAAGAGTTAACAATGACGTAAATATTGGACATACATATTCGCCGTTTTTTTTTTATTTAGACAAAAATGACCCTGCATCAACTACTAAGAGTTATTAGCAGGGGGTACAAACACAAACTACAAGTATTTAACTTCTTACAATGTATATATGTATAACTTAAATATATTCTATTAAACACTGTAAAATTTATTATCTTTCAAATATTTTAGCACTTAGTTGAACAGGCAGCTTAGTAGATCCTTTATGTTGGTAGAGAGGTTATTTTTTCTTCTTTCTTGGAAGTACGTTTTGTATTCTAACAGAATATGTTTTACAGTGATTTAAATCTTGCAGTTGTGGCAAAAAGGGATGGTGTCTTTATTTATTAAGTAAATATGGGTTGGTATAGTATGTTCTTATCGTGGTCGAGTTATTATCACTTGTTTACAACGTTTGAGTGGTAGTGGTAAGGTGGTGCCGACAGTTTCTATAACATCTTTTAATTTGTTGGATGTGGAATTTCAGTTACACTGCCATAAGTTGATAACATGTTTTTTAATGAACATGTGACACAGGGATGCTTTCATCAAGTGCAGCTTCATTCGCAAGTTGGTCCACTGCTTCGTTTCCCTTGATTCCCACGTGTGATGGCACCCATAAAAAGTTATTTTTACGTTTTTTGTTGATAGCAGTATGTTTTCATTTTTTATTAGCATTATAATTTCACTTGATGGATACAATTGCTGTCAAGCTTTTAGTGTACTTAATGAGTCAGATATTATAATATAATGAGGTGCGGATTTTCTTCTGCAAACTTTCAGTGCCTCTAAAATAGCCATTGCTTCTCCAGTAAATAATGCTACAACTCAGAGGGAGTCGTATTTTAAAATGTTCTGCTCCATGTATGTAAGCGGCTGCTAGTCCTGATTGAGTTTTTGATGCATCAGTTTAGATATGTTCAGAATTTTAATATAGGGATATTATTTCATGATATGATTGATGAATTACTGTTGGGTTACTGAATGTTTTGGGATAGCGAGTCAGGGATGTATTTACAAATGGTGGACTAGTTGACCAAGAGAGAAAGTTTTGGGTTGGATTTATGATGGCAATAAACTGCTCACAGTTGTAACCACTGAATTTGATTCTTTCATAAAAGGGCGTGTATTAATCGGTTTATTTTTGTAATTACTGATACATTTAGGTTTTAAGATATCTGAATGCATGGGATTTTGATGATTTGATGATATACAAGTTGCATAATTTAGTGACAATTATTGTCTTCGTAAGTGTAAAGGTAATTCGTTAGCAAATACTTGAAGGCTATTGGTTGGGCTAGTTCTAAATGCACACAGAGCAATTCTTGGTGACGTTCTTTGAATTGAATGTAGTTTTTTAATTGTAGTTTTTTTGGCAATACCATAACATATTGAGTAGTCTAATTTGTTACGTATAAGTCATTGGTATAAGTTTAATAGGGTTCGTGTATCTGCTCCCCACGTACGGTTTGAGAGAATTTTCAGGAGATTAATTCTAGGTTGACATTGTTTTTGCAAGGTATGTATATGACTTTTCCAGTTTACAGTGCAATCTAAAGTTAACCCCAGGCAATTTATTACGTTTGTTTCTTTTAGGATAGAGTATGTCCATTTAAAGTTAGATTAACGTTCTTTATATTTTTCCGTTTGCTGAATATTATGTACTGTGTTTTTTCAGAAGAAAAGTGAAAACCAGTTTTAGGTGACCATTTTTTCAGCGTATGTTAAAACTTCTGTATTACTTTAGTCGCACATTCCACACTTCTGCTTTTGTGGTAGATAATTAAGTCGTCTGCGTATAAATTGGCTTTAATCGGTAATCTCATTTCGTCCAAGATGTTATTTATTGCAATCAGAAACAATGTTGGGCTTAAAATGGAGCCTTGCGGAATTCCATTTTCAAGAGAGCGTGGACTAGAAATATAACCGTTAGCTATTACTTCAATATTCCTATGAGTTAAGAAATTTTGTATAAAAGCTAGTGATAGAGTATTGATATCAATAAAGACAGCTAGTAATTTTTGATTATGTATAAATGCTTCATGGATTTCAGACTCAAGCGATACTAAGTTGTCGGTAATGGATCTGCCTTTACGAAACCCACTTTGATATGAGGATAATAAGATTAAGTTTTCTAGATGCCATACTAGTCTGTTATTTATAATCTTTTCCATTATTTTACACATATTACAAGTCAAGGAGAATGGACGATATGACAAGAGATCGTCTTTGGGTTTGTTGGGTTTAAGAATTGGGATTATAATTGCATGGCACCATATCCTGGGAAATATATATATATATATATATATATATATATATATATATATATATATATATATATATATATATATATATATATATATATATATATATATAAGCGAGGTTCCTACAGCCTCTGCCGTTTCTCGCATTTCGACCGCCATCGTTTTCTGTCCATCCATTCGTCTTCTCTGATGGCTCTATCTCTCATTATGTGCCGTACATTTTCTTCCCAGGCAACTGAAGGCCTTCCCCTTCTTCTTCTTTGTTGTGGTATGTAATTTAAATCTTTCTTTGGCCATCTATCTTCATTCATTCGTTTCACGTGACCATACCACACTAGTTGTCTCGTTTCAATTCTATCTACACTGGAATATACAGTATTTGTCCTCCTTCTAATATCTTCATTCCTGATGTGATCTTTTTTGGATATACCACACGCTCTCCTTAGAAAATCCATTTCTATTACTTCTATTCTTTTTCTATCCTTCTGCGTTATCTGCCAAACCTCTGCCCCATAAGTCATAATAGGCTCTACCAAGGTTCGATAGATTGTCAATTTCGTTTCTTGTCTAATATCTTTAGACCAAAGTAGAGAGTTTAGAATGTTTACCACTTTTTTTCCCTGCTGTGTTCTGTTTTCGATGTCTCTTTTGGTAGTGCCTTCTTTAGATATTATAGATCCGAGATATTTATATTCATTGCATGTTTTTGTGTTTCTAATTTCTAACTCTGGATCTTCTTCACCATCTCCTATTTTAAGATACTCTGTCTTTGCCATATTCATATTGAGGCCCCATTTTTCATATTCTTTCTTTAGTTTTCTAAACATGTAGTCCATGTCTTCCTCGTCATTCGCTACGACTACCTGATCATCTGCGAAAAATAAAGCTGTTAGACATTCACCACCGCCTATGTCTATTCCCATTCCGGATACTTGTTTTCTCCACTGCTCTAGCGATGATTGAATATATATTTTAAACAGGGTCGGAGACAGACAACATCCTTGTTTAAGCCCCTTGGTTATTGGAAATGATTCAGATATAAATGGGAAATATATAATTGAAAAATATTGAGTTAAATAGTTCAAGGAGGATAAGTTTGGCTGATTTTGGAATATTTTTTAAAAAATAGGTGAAATATTATCTAGACTGGAAGTGGTATTTTTAAGGCAGTTTAGAGAATAATGAAATTCTTGTTAAGTTATGTTTTCATTTAGGGGTGATTTGCGGTCAAGGATTGAAATCTTTAAGGATTCTTCATGATTATTTGCTGTTTTGCTGGAATATATATCTTGACAAGCCATAGCTGTTTAGTGTATTAGCTCAGATACGTCAATTTTGCTACCTTTTTGCAGTTGCTGCTTTACCAGATTGGTCATGATATGTAAATTAATTTAATTTGCACAATTCTAGATGATATCTTTAATTCTAATTTTATTTTTCATTTTTTCAATTGCAGTAAAAATTCTTAATGTCATTATATTTGGTTTTTATTACAAACATAAAAAAAATTATAAATAATCTCACTTTTAACTGATATCACTAAATACTAAATGATAAGATATATGTACATCTCAAGGTTAGTTGTGGTTATATTATAATCTCTGTATTCACTTTTTAAAAAATATTACTAATTATTTTTACATTTATTCTAGCTTATGGAAATCTCGGAAGCGTCCTTAGTAGTCAAGGACGAGTAGACGAAGCCGAAACGGCATTTCGAAAAGCTCTTCAGCACAGACCCAACATGGCGGACGTGCATTATAATTTGTGAGTAGCCTTTTGTTGTTTAGCAACGCAAATTTCATTATAATTGCGACCGGTCGCTGTATACTACGTTTTCTCCGACAGGAGATTAATGGAGACAATTAAAAATATATTACGAACCGCAGTGGCACTTGTGCTGGCTTTGGGAAATCTCTATTATTAGCGTGAACACAATTTATGAATTTCTGGCTGACCGAGACAGCTGGTCTGGGTTCAAAAAGAGAATTGGCGGTTAATAAATGTATAAAGTAATAATGTGCGTATATTTACACAAACCTTTGCGCAATTTAAACGTTACAAAATCTTGAAAGAATAATTACATATCATGTAATATTAAAGTTTTAGCGAATATTTGATGAACATCAATCTCTATGCAATGAGTAGCTTAAAAGGTATACTTTGAAATATATATATATATATATATATATATATATATATATATATATATATATATATATATATATATATATATATATATACTCAGTGACATTAAAAGTGTTACACCCAGAAGGAATAATTTCTTGAACGTAATTTTTTGGCAACAAAATTACTGTATTTGTTGTTGTTTGTTTGTGTTTAAATGACTGCGGACACTAAATCCATTCGCCAATCTTACAATTTGAGGTGTAGGGTGTGTGTGTGTGTAGAGTAATTGTCTTGATACTTAGCAAAGTCGACGTCATTGTCTTTGCTAAGAGACGCTAATTGTATCCGAACGTCTGCGGTCCCTCCGGTGTGTACCGATCACACAAGGATAGAAATTATTTTCATCTATTAATTTTTTTTTTTTTTTTTTTTTTTTAATAAACGAAAATTTCCACCCAGGTGGGATTCGAACTCACGACCTTTAGATTTAAAGGCAGGCGCTCTTACCACTGAGCCAGAGAGGGGGTATTACTGTATTTAAAACACGCTATGATAACAATACCAATGTTTGATCTTTGTTAGTTTTTGAAGTTTTTAGTTATTATTTATCAGTCTAAGACACCAAAATTATGCCTTTTTTCAGCAAGACAACGCGCGTCCTTATATTGCTCGTCAAACTATGGACTTTCTCCAAGAGGCTGGCATTAATGTTTTGCCGTGTACGCCCTGTACTCTGGATTTAAATCCTATCGAACATATACGGGATAAGATGGGAAAGACACTATCCACTTAGCACAATATTTCACAGACTTTGGTACAGTTAATACATGAAGTTTAAGTTGCTTGGAACGGGGTACCACAAGCAGACCTCGATTACCTCATATTGTTAATGCCTACACGTACACATTAAGGCTGTTTTATCGGTGCACCAAAACCTAGGGACTGTTATTTACCGAGAAAATTTCTCGAAATTTGGACACAATATTCGAAATGATGTAGTTTTTAAAATGATGGTTTTACTTTTTTTTATTTTTTTAAAACTTCTGTTGAAAAATTGGATTATACTGTTTAACGTTCTTTTATAAACACACTATTTTACGCCTATCACTTGAAAGAGTTTTTTTTTCTGTAATCGTTGATTTTTTTTTCACTGTTCTGTGTCCAGTAATAATCAAGAGAAGCGTGTTCTAACTTTGAACAAAATTGTTAAAAAATACTAAAATCTAATAGTGAAACATGTTACTCATCATTGTCGCTTAGTTTCACCGTTATCGCATTCGTGACGTCAAATCTCATAAACGTACGGTCAGCTTTTTCGTGTTAAAACTAATTTGAATGATGAGTAATGCATTTGTTGTCATTAAACTACCCATTGGCCGCGCCACTGTGTAAAGATAGGCTCGCGTAAGCAGTGTAGAAATGTGGTACGTACATTTCAAATCGCAGTGTGCTTGAACTGCTAAAACAGCCTTTTAATTTATTCAGTTACGGGGCGCCAAACACATTATTATTTTTTTTTATTACCTTTTAATAAAAAGTCGTAAAAATGTTATCGTTTCTTTTTTATGTAAATCTACAATGTTGCCAAAAAATTAAGTTCAAGAAATTATTCATTTTGAGTGTGATCTTGTGGCGCCCGATTAGATTTTCTTTTCAGTTTCTTTGGAATTATTTTGTCAAAAAACATCATTCGCATCTTGGCATCCATGCCGCATCATTTATATATTATATTTTACACAGCTCCACCTATTTTTAGATTGCTCTCTAACGTCTATACTAGATATAATTGTTTACAACTTTTACAACCCTTTCATCATCCCAAATTATTATTTTATTTTAAATATTTCTTACTAGCAATATTCCACATCATCAGCTAGCAGCTTATAAACAATATTAGATATGCAGACGATACAGTGTTGCTGGCAGATAGTGTGCAGGGACTCCAAAGGATGATGTATAATGTTGTAAAAGCATGTAACAAATACGGCTTAAAACTAAATTGCAAGAAGACAAAAATAATAAATATTATTAACAACACCGGCATAAACGCCCAAATTACAATTAACGATGCACCGTTAGAACGAGTGGAAAAAATATGCTATTTGGGCTGCAATATTAAGGATACTTGTTATCACAGCTACGAAATAAAAACTCGTATTGAAAAAGTAGGAAGCTCTTTCAACAGCCTTAGGAAGATTCTATGCAACTTATCTTTAAGAATCAATTAAGGACACACTTTGGTGTCCTCCTTTATGGAGTAGAAAGCTGGAGCCTTACAAAAGATGCCATCAAACGATTGGAGGCATTTGAAATGTGGTGCTACCGACGTATATTGAGGGTCTTATATATACACCAAACTAGTAACATAACTATTCTCCAGAGGCTAAGAAAAGACAAAGAAATTATTAGCACCATAAAAAACAGAAAATTGACTATCATGCGTAATGATAAATAACGACTTGATTCTACAGGGCATGATTACAGTAGCGCACCTAGAATTGTCCTCTGGGGGTGTTTTGGTTGGACAACGAAATTTTTTTAAGCTACCTCCACCATTTTAAGTCCTAAAAATTTGTAAATAACAGTGTCGGCGGAATAGGGTCCTGGGGGGGTTTGACCCCCCATAACCCCCCTGGGTGCGTCACTAAATGATTAAGGGTAAGAGGGGCCCTGGACGTGTATATACATATATAATATATATAAATATATAAATTTCATACAATGTTTTAGTCTGCTGGAGTTCGTATTCTTTCAGAAAATACTAAAATTTAATTAATTTTCATTTTCTGAAATGGAGAATTATTCCCCACTTTTAAATTTAACATGTTAATTTTCTAAAAGCAGTCTGTAAAATCAATAAAAGACGACTTCTAATTCCATATTCAAAACCTCATTGTAGTATAGTAAAGTAAATAACTTTCAGAAATTTCATTTTCAAAACTGAAAACACTTTTCCGTCACTAAACTTTGGCTTATATGTATGCAGATCACCTTAGGAAAGTTTTATGCCTTTATCTACAGGAAACTGTACAAATTTAAAGTTTTGCACCCTGTTAGGCGATTGTGTAACTTTGGATGGCTTTCGATTAAATCTTCCAAAATGCACAACTTAAAGCATAAACACTGGTGGTGTTTTATTATATTAAGACATAATATCTGAAAAGTTTTATAATAAAATTTTAGCTTAAAATATAGAACTAGAAGTATAAAACATGCAGTTCCTACAGGTAATATGGCGCCTTTAAGAGACATCAGTTCCAAAACTGCTTTGCAAATCATGTATTCATGTTTACTGTAGTTTGCAATATTTAAACAAAATTTAGTTTAGTATTTGTGGACTCTTTATATTAATTTAGAAATCAGATTACTTGATAAATTCATTATTATCAAGTAGTTATTGATGTAATATATCCATTATTCTCAATCCACTGAAAAAATATGACCTGGCAATCTTTCTGGTGCTGGTTTAGCCTTTAATTAATTCCATACGATTACGCGTTTCCTCTCTTTCCTTGTCTAAGGTTTCACCTAATTCAAAAAATATTTATATTACACTAAGTACATCTTAAGTGTTACTCAGACAAAAATATAATCAACCTTACATCCTACCTTTAGAACTTCAATACCTTTTTCCTTATATTATCTAATTCATCTCAAACTTTACTTTCTTTACATAAGAAAATTAATTATTTATCCCTCATCTTTGCCCGTAAGATAAATCTCCTTTCTTCCACATTTTATCATTTAACTGACCATCTCATTACTATTTCACTTCATTTCTCTGATTATCACATAGTGTATTCTTTTCATTTTTTTTTACTAATGGTGGCTTCAAATATTATTGATCAATTTAATTTTATAGTCAATTCATAAATTAAAAACAAATAATATTATAAAAATAATAATAACTATTTTCTTCAATTTAAATATACCAATTATAAAAAAAAATATAATATAAATATCAACAGATGAGTCATTGACCTAGTTTACTTTGTAAATACGAAATATCAATATTGTCCTGAAAACCATAGCCAATGAAACAGTAAATTTTTTCCGGCATCCTAAACTTTGTTGGCAAACTCCCGTACAAAGGTGCGGATGTAAAAATTCTACTTCAAGTAATTATATGTGGTTTCTGGTTATTGATCCAGTTACATCGGCATTTTGCTGTATAAGTTAATACTTTTAAGTTTAGTATCTTCAATGTAAACTTCTTTACATTTTTATTACTCTTTGTCCCTTTTCCGGTCTCTGTTATTGTTAATATACTTAATTCTGTAGCCTTAGAATCTTCTACTTTTTTTATTTGTTTGCCATTTATAGGTACTCCTTATATTTCACAGTACAATTTTTAAAACGATATGCTTATTTTTTTTTCTTACGTGATGAATCTATGTATTATTTGTTTTTTATTCTCTGATTTAATTTATTTGTGTTCGTTGTTATAACCAGAGTTTTATCAGTTTTGGCTTCATTATATTCCTTGTTGTTTGCCACTAATTGTGTCCGTTTTTTGGATTTTTGTTCCTTTTGCGTTATTTCCCGATTTTTTGCATAGCAATATTTTTAACAATGTCTTTCTTTTCCCATCTTCATTTCTCTCCATGTACTATGATCTTTTTAAAACCTATTTTTACTATT